GCGAAACCGTCGTCGGTGACTGGGAAGGCACATTTGAGTCAACTGGCTTCCGGCCTCCAATCAACGGAGACACGCCGGGAGCGAACAAGGTTATCGGACAGACCTTGGAACTGATGAAACCCAAACGCAGCTAGATGCAGATGTTTGGACCGACCTTGGTTCGGCAGGCAGTGTGGATGGTCCTTCGAGGCGAGTTGATTGTACCGATTAAATCATCGAGCACTCACCAAGTAGCCCTAGACATCGTTACGCTCTTGAGGGCTATGGGATGTGAGCCTCAGAGTTTCCCCTCAGACGCTGCGCTTGAGGATTGGGCGCCTGCGGATGCGGGCACGGCCTTGCGCAAGTTGAAGAAGAAGTTGCGTACGGCATTTGGAGTAGAAAAGATTGCTTCCAGGTCGCCAAGTGGTAGTTCGACAAGCGTTTATGCCAGCTGAACCATCGCAGATTCTATTCCCTCAGACTCCCGTTAAGGCTAACGAAACTGTGCAAGAGGTGTGCATAGGATCCCCGTATATGCACGACTCACACATGGAGACTACGTGGTCCGTAAGTCGCCAAGAACGGGTTTTGAAGGAGGACGAAGGTTCTAAGCGAACGCCCAACATCTACCGGGGCCAAACCCAGCAGGCAGGATCGACGCTATGATCTGAACGAGGACTCGTCTTACGAAGGCGATGACCTTTTAGATGTTGATTGCCTCGAAGGAGACCTGACCGAGGAGTGGGCACGACAGATTCACGAACTAAGTGCAAGGAAAGCGAAGAACTCGACGTCCAGGCTGGAAATGGCCAGCTTGGAAACATCAAATAGTTCTCCGGCTATCGAAATAAGAGTGAGAAATCCATGCAGTGGCTCCGCATATTCATCTACGAAATGAAAGGAACGCATACTCCATCGAATGACTGGTGTATGACGTTCGAGTTGGGTCTGCAAGACGGCGCCTTGAACTTTTACCGTCAGCTACCGCGCAAGACTCGACATACATGGAAGCTGTTGAGCGACGCATTTATCAAGTACTATTGCTCCAAATTCGACCAGTCTGCGAAGGCTAGGTATTACTCTGCAAACCGAGAAGACAAGGATCATCTGTGTGTCTACCTTAACCGATTCAATGGTTACGCCCGCAACGTTGGAGTACAGTTTGAGAATGGAGGACGCGAGTCCATGAATCACGTCGAACACTTTCCCGATACGTGTGACGACAGAGGCCTCGAAGAATGCCTGTGTCATGTGAGAGTGAAGGACATCCATGACCTCGATGATATAATTAATGACGTTCTAAAACGCAGGGACCGTAAGACAAAACGTGAAACCTCGGTGAGGCGATCTCACAGTCACGACAATGGTCGGCGACGTGATAGTGGGAGGAACGAAGACTCGATAAGTGTTTACCGCCGGGGCAACCACCACCGAGATGACCGGCGCAGGGATGCGTCACCCTCCCGGCCGAGGGTTACACTTGCGGATGCCCTGTCTGACTTGGTAATCGCCCTGAACGAGACTTCGGTGGGGCTCAATACGAGTCAATCAGGGCAATATGATCATGGATACGAGACAAACGAGGACTCACTTGGCGATGAGAAAACCGCAATGATGACGACAACTACTCCAATGGTGGTTCTGAGTATGGCTATCCTACAGAAGAAGAGAGAGAGATCTCGTAGCGGCGGCGAACGAACATGAACGCCGCGCGGCTGCAGAAGGGACGTTTGCTCGGTCTGACCACCGTCGAGCCAAGGGTGATGGTAACTTCGGCTAACGACAAGAATGACACTCGCGACAACCGCAACGGACGGCAATAGTACGAACCTTGCGCAGCGTGTGGAGGATTGACTCACTCCGTCCAATTTTGCTACAACCGGTTGCAAACTGCGCAAGAAAATGCACGATGCTGAGAAATGGGAAGCTTTCAACGAGCTCGCTAGTCTCCTCCGATCGAACGTCGACAAGAACGATCTGACGCTAATGTTGCAAAATGTGGCGTACGGAAGTCATTTAAACTAGGCAGCCCGCCAACCGAAACTATGTTGGTTCCTATCGGGCTGCCACATCTAACCGAACCTGCAGTGGACGCGGACTAATTGTTTGCCTTTGCAGGGGAAGTAAACTGACCCGAAGACCGCAAATTTGGAATTGTGAATACGACGGAAATTGGATATGAAAAAGATGGAAACCTCAGTGAGAAGAGGAAAGAAGGATCAGAAGTGGTAGAACGAGATGGATATGTGACACAGGCCTCGGCTTCAAGTGTGGATCCGTGTGGAACGCACCCACGAAACCTCTTCAGGCATCGAAACCGTTGCCAGATGAGAGATAAGGGTGGTGATCGTCCCAACGGTACGTCAAACGGAAGAGGATGAGAGTAGTGGAGATGCACGAAAAAAGATTCTGTTGGACACTGGAGCTAATGCTAGTGTGATTTCAGCAGCGTATGCCATGCGGTTACGTCTGCGAGAAGTCCCAAACCATAACCATAGTTCAGAAGTACGGGATATAAACCCCCGTGTTTTGGAAACACGGAGACAGGCACCCGTAAAAATTACCCTACGATGGGAACGAGTTTACGAGTTCGAGATGCGGATAATGGACCACAGTGCGGGCGTCGATGTAGTCCTAGAAACGGATTTTATGATTCCGGCAGGAGTGCGGTTGGACTTGTTCCACGGAACGGCGCAGTTACCTGACGAAGTTGTGGTACCAATGGTGAAGTCTGTCGGCACGGCCTACGAACGACCCCATAGGGAACATGCTATTGACGGTCAAACAGAGTACTTATGTGTCTCACGGGGCGAATGGCGTGAATTAAGACTATCCCGTAGGCGACCATCTCGCGCGACGCATGAATTGTGGATTAAAAGGACCCGACAATTAGTGCCGACAGTAATAGCGTCACGTGGAGGCCGACCCGTGTGGATTCATTTGACTTAGTGTATCAAACACTCCTCAGTGGGTATTATGGGTACCTCGAGGCGAACTTCCTCGCGAGGTCGGATATGTCAGGCTTAATTCCAACAAGTACAACGAATAACAGGTACTTGCGTATGTCGAAAGTCGCGACGAGACTTTAGTTCGCAAGGAGAAGGAGTTGTACTAGTGCTGGTTGTCTGAAAGGCCGCCAGCGGTGTAACGTCGGACATATCGAATGCCTGAACGGATTCTAGAGAGGCCAGCCAAGCCTAGGTGGCATCTGAAGAGACGAGATTAAAGAATTTGAGGTCAGTCGAGACAGTCACTGGTGAATGTCGTAGGGTTACACCACACACGGGTGATGAAACTTCTCTTGCCGTAGACGACGATAATTACAACTCTGCTGGGGCATATCAGGGGCGGACCGCGCATTCAGATCACATGAGGTGGTATCTGAAGGGTTGCGATCGGATTCTAAGAATATTAAACGCGTGACCGAGTTTTCGTTCTCGACCACCAAGAAGGGGATGCAGTCATTCCTCGGTGCGCTGAATTATTACAGCAGGTTCATCCCGGATTTCGCGGTATATGTAGCCGCGTTGTACCAACTAAAAGATGAAGACTTCGAACCCGTTGGCGACCTGTCGACCGCCCGATAGAGCTTTGCGAAGTTGCAACAGAAGATTGGCGACGCTCCGAATTTGCGCCACTTTGATCGCGGAAAAGACATACATGTGCCGTTGTTCGCAGACGAGTGAGAATTGAGTTCGACGCTAATGCAAGAACATGAAGGAAAGATGCATCCAGTCTGGTTCTGTGGACGTGTGCTAAAAGAAGCTGAGATGAATTACCACTCAGCCGAGAAAGAGGTGCTAGCACTGTTGCTGCTACTGAAGACATGCTTCACTCAACTTGCCGGTCGCACAATCCATGTGTACACCCGTTTTTCGACATTAGAATGGGTACATATATCGAAGACACTGTTCGGTCGAACGGCCAAGTTTGCTGTACTGCTGTCACCTTGGCATTTGATGGTCAACCGAGTGAAAGAGAAGCATTGGGCCTTCGCACAGCTAGTGCAAGTCGGTCTAACAAGATTTGTCGATTTAGAAGATTCGCTGGCGACGGTTCCGCCATCTACGAAAATATCGTCTACCGTACGGCGGGATCCCCAGCTTCTGTACGCACGCCTACCGAAGTCTCACCACTGATTTGTGATATCCTTCGACGGGTCCGCCATGACTGAGAAATATGGCGGGTACGGCAGTTGCTCTTGCATTTTGCGGCGTTTACCCACTGGACTATAGTGGCCGGGGCTAGTGCCTATCTCGAAGCTACGACGGTACATATGACCGAATACTCCGGTATGTACCGTGGTGTACAAGCAGCTTTGGACCACGGCGCTACCGAACTGGTAATTGTTGGGGTTTCATGACTGGCAATCCAGTAGTCACTAGGGGTGATCGCATACAAGCAGGACTCACTAATGACACAACTCAACCACCACCGAAAGATGGTTGCCGGCCTCAAGTCTGTTAAATACCTACATGTCGTACCCGCGTACAATGCAGCCCCAGACTCACTGGCTACTGAAGCACTGAAAAAAGGCGTCCGTTACGATAACGTCAGAAGCTCGGTTGTTTGAATTAGCATCGTCGAACAGGATCCATGAGGTCACCTATGAACGCCCAACGAAGATTCGGAGGACGAACCTTCGGTCAATGCTGTACACTCCCAACTTTAAGTGCGACATTCGCGACACGCGAAACAGCCGAATTCTCTGACGGGATGCCCGACAAGAGCGACCGAACACCGTCGCAAGAATTTTTCGATTTTGTGCGAGAGGGCAGCGGAGAATTCGGAGACCTAAGGGTAACGACCAGACAGCAGGCGAGGTCCGTCCGCATACGCGTCAGAGTCGCAGATGAATCTTCGGCCTAAAGCGTACACGAGTTTGCGTTACGAGCCAGGTCCAACGATACCCCGACAGAAACCTCAAATAGTGAGAATCAGGAAGAACGAAGGGAAACGAGATCTACACCCGCATCGCACAGCGCCGATAATGTACACCCTCTGGAGATTAAAAAAGAATGATGAAGAAGGATCGCGGTCCCTCAAGATGAAGAGCTGTCATGGGCGAACTTAAAGACCGTTCTCCGTATTGACGAGGCGACGTTGACATACTGGGCAGCGAGAGACGCGTGGAAGATCGCTGACCGCTTTGTTCTTAGTGAGAACGGCGTGCTTTACTACCTAGAAACGAGACTTCTGAGAGGTGACCACCTGCAAGAGAAGCCAGCACTGCGTCTAGTGGTACCCACCACGATGATTCAAGAGGTATTACAAAACTGCCACGACTCGCTGGAAGGTGGTCATCAAGGTATCGCACGAACCTTCTACCGGGTGAAATTGGATTACTACTGGATCGGTCTATACGCAGATACCGCAAACCATGTACGCTCTTGTCCCGACTGTAGCTCGAGTAATAGCCGACCGAAGCTTCGCGGGTACTTACCTGGCAACGTTCTGGCAGGGCGACTATTTCAAATCGTGTCTATGGCTTTCGTCATACCTTTGCCGGAGGCTCCGTGAGGGAACACAGCGCTATTGTTATTTCTGTGCGCATTCACCGGAATCGTAATGGGTAAAGCCATGGCCAACGCTACCGCCTTACAGGTAACACAAGTGTTTCAAGAATGCGTCTACCGAAGATTCGGAGCGCCGTCGTTGATCAGACATAATCGAGCCCACGCTTCCTGAGTGAGGTCTTTTGAGCTTTTACCAAAATGATACAGTCGAGGTCTAGAGTAACATTAAGTTACCACCCCCAGGCAAACGGCCAGCGAGAACGGTCCGTCAAAACAGTTATGCAGTTTGTGCTTGTATACGCGGAAGATCCGCTGCAGCAGGACTGGGACGACATCGCTGAGAAGTTGATCTTTGTGATTAACGAATTGATAGATGTGACGAGAAGGGAGACACCGTTTTATCTTGTTCATGGGTGGGGTGCACTGTCTACTCTCAAGGCAATGTATTCGCCACTTCACCGAAGCTTTGACCGACAGTCAGATGCCCTGGCCTGGCGCCGGGAGGCGATCCACCAACAAGAGATTGCATTGAATATGGCAAATAGTACCAAGCGGCCGAGAAAACTCGGAGAGCTCAGAAGCATAACGAATTGTTAGGTATGATTGAAAAGCCGCGATTCCCAGAATGGATCAGTGACGCACCGGAATGCTTCCAAAATATAGGTACACCTTCCTCCAACAACACTCACTTCGTTACGAAGACTTAGTAGGCTTATTTGGGGTCGACACAAGAACCCGAATGCCTTAGTACGATCCGTTGCACAGGATTGGTCTGTGTTTCTGTGTACTGTGTTTCCCGCAGGTCAACCACTACAACCTCGGCAATCCTAGTCACGGGCAGGACTAGGATGCCCACACACACTCAATATACCACGCAGTCCCAACAGCGGGAGGGTACCGACCTTATACAGCTCTATACGTGGGTGCCGGGGTTAATCCCGCGCTGAATTAATAAGAATGACGAAGCCTTGCCTCTTAATGTATGGCGAAGACTCGTAATCTGTCGATGTGCCTCCCAATGTATGGCGAAGACTCGTAAACTGTCGATCCGCATCCCAATGGATGGCAGGATCTCAATGGCGAAGACTCGCCCTAATATCCAATACGCACTGCCAAATCTCTTGGCTTTGCCACGGGCGTACAACACAGAACACTAGTTCGCGTGCACACCGACAGGCATAATCCTACCTACCAAGTACGACACTACACCACACAGGGCTTACCGCTGAGTCGCCGGACTTGACTCTTGAGGTTGGTGGGGAAATCGGTTCTGCTGATCTAATCATTAATGCTCCCTATAGTCATATACAAATATCAAGTATAAACGCGTCCGTTATGGAACTCCCTAAAATTCTTGTTGGTCCGACGAGTCGCGAGGCTTTCTTGGTCATGGATCTTGAGCGGTTTCACGTGCCGTTGAGTCTGGTCGTTGGAAATAGGACATGCCGAAGGCTCAGCCCCTTGATAAGCCCGTTATTAAGGCTCGGTCTTTGGCGTGGTCCTGTTTCCTTGATTCTTCGTCACCGTTGATTCTCGACCAATGAGAACCACTCAGCTTGGCCGTCAGTTTTCGTTGACAGAACTGACCACAACTCGACCTCCCATTTTTCGTGGTCCTTCTTACCGTTGGTTTACTAGTAATTTACTACACCATATCAGACCGTTACACCAGGTGATGGATAGCGGCAGTGACCGAAGATTCGAATGAGACCTCTGTGGGCGAAGCAAAGTCTCTGTTTAAGGATGGCGACCGCATTCGGTTGTACATGGAGCGTGTGAAACCCGGATTGTCGAAGAAACTAGCGCACCAATGGCACGGACCCTTCCGCGTTAAAGAAAAGGTTCAAGAGTTCGCTTATGAACTCGACCTGCCGGACCGAAGCGCTTACAGTTGAAGCATATTGGACAATCGAGTCCCATTGTTTACAAGCAAAGAACGAGCCGTCAGCGAATTCAAGGTGACGTGGATGGGCTACGACGAACCAACATGGGAGCCTGCATCTAATTTGTCGTGCGGCGGTCTGCTGTACGATTACCTCTGCGAGCAACGCCGCGACCGAAGGTTACAAATGGTTCATGTCGCAGACGAAGATTAGACACGATTCGAAACGAATTGTCTATGGGGTCGGTACAGCCCACGGCAACAGACGAAGGAAGCTACTGTACCGAACTTGCGTATTTTAGATATTTGTGGGGTCGGAGCACAACTTTGTTGAACGAGTTGTATCGAGGTGGGAGGCACGAACTCTCGTGGAAATGAAATTGGCACTACGAACGAGAACAAGCTACTTAGATTAACTTCAGATTACCAAAATGCTAAGCAACCTACACAAAACGAGTGTGAGCCTATTTAGAAGCAAACGACTGACTCGTCGCTATTTAGACGAACGTGTCGAATTTTGGGAGCATGATCTCTTCAGGTGGTTTCTCAGTCGCGTGGATATCCTTCCCGACATTGGAAGAGACCACTGAAGAACCAGTTGCGCTCTCTCCGGACCCCACGGCATCAGCCTCCACGTGAGATAAAAGGAAGGAAGTCTCGTTCGGCGCCTCCTGGACTTCTTTCGACCTAGATTCCTGGCCCAATGAGCTCTCCGAAGCTTCGGCGGGGGTCTTGTCGGTGGTGGCAGGTTTTTGAGTAGAGTCACCAACGACAGAAGGATCGGTGACACAGGGAGCTTCAACGTCAGCATCCGCATACGACGGACCCACAACAATACGAGACGCAATAGCTCTGTGAATCCAGGCAGGTGGAACAAAAAGGGGAACCTCCGAGTTACTTGGGGCGAAGAAGGTGTTATAGGGATGCTCGGCTGGAGCATCGACCCAACAATTTTGCAACGGTTGCTGCGCACCCAATCCCCGTAACTCACGGGACCAATTTCGTGTCTGTGGCGCCCACTCCAGAATCTCGAACGAATATTGCAAATGCCTGGGTTCTAGATCTATGTGGGCTGCTCTGGTGGACCTTTATTGTCAGTACTCCACTTCCATATTCGTGCAATCTGAATGAAGTTGGTGGTGTGGAGCTACCAACCGAAGTCTCGACCTGTCCCGCAGCATCTCCAGAATCCAAAGAAACCTCAAGCTCAGCTAAGTCAACGTCGACGTCATTTAAGAGCTGAGAAATCGGAACTGCGGGCCGAGGTGTCGGCCCCGTCGATGACCGAAGCAAGGACGAGACTGGCTGCTCCTCGGAATCTGAGGGAGGGGTCGGTAACCTCTCTTTATTCGCGGACCGCTTATTAAGGAAACGACGTGCAGTACCGGCGGATTTTAAGTGTCCAAGACCAAGTCATTGCCGGTCATCTCCATCTCAAGACTCTCCTTCACTCATCGGTCGGAAGCGAACGAGATGCTCCTTCGAGGACGCCCGTCCTTGCGAGGGGGGACAAAATAAGAGAGGATAATGGACTTGAATCACCCTTCTGAGCCTCGGTGACGCCCTCATCGGACGTCAAGTCAACGACTTCAAACTCGGACTGAGGCACCGAGGACTCCGTAGTACCAGAAGGAGGAGGGAGCTCTTCCCTTGACTTTGACTCTAAGTGAGAAACCTCGCCGTTAGAGCCACCACCCATGACGTCATCAACTTCGTGACCGAGTCCACCGTCGGAGTAGGCCGTGCGTGTTTAGGGGCAGAGGTATCGGTTGCACTAGAGGTCGGAACAGCCTCAACAGAACTTGAACTCGCCTGAGAACTAGAGTCAGTGTAACTGGCCCCGCGAACTAGCTTTGTCGAGGGACGACCGAGGCTTCGTGAAGGCGGAAGCTTCGAACGCGGCATAACCCGAGGCGCGGGCGCATGAGAGAATTGGCGCGAGCACCGGTATTTACGGTGGGGCTCTCCAGCGTCGGTGTCATCGAACAGTCCACTTCGAGCCACGACCGAAAGTTCTGACGAACCACGAGACTGAAGGGTGACGTGATTAGAACCCCCAGAAGTTTCGGTAGTACTCTACAGTGGAGCAGTCGGTTGTTTAGGCCGACCCACCGAAACTTCGGTGGATGACGATTTCAAATGCTGCTCGGCGTCCGAACACCCACTGACAGAAACCGGCGGTCAAAGCCGGAGGAAACCAGCGCGGTCGTCACCGAGACCGAGCAACCCCCAGTTTATGTTTCTTGCAGAAATGCCGGCAGTAGAGAGCACGAGAGCGTCAGCATTTCAAACAATTCTCGGCTGAGTTGCGCCACAAAATCGAATTGGCGCGGCAAAAACTCGCATTTTCGACCAATAATGGCTTCTTTCTCTGCGATAGAGAGCTAATCGACCCACGGTCGTTCTCGTCCAGATATTGTCGGAGCTTCGTCAACTTTACGTTGTATACCACGAGACCGGCATTCACTCTCTCGCTTTTCTGTTCGACATACCGCATGGCGGCAGCGCAGTCGGCTTCAGAAGTACCGTAGCGGCATTTCAGCTGCTGCAGAACGTAAGTCTGTCGAGCGATTGTGGTGAAGTGAATCGGAAAATTCACGTGGATACGATTGATTGATTGAGTGACGGAAATGCAACAAGGGCATTATCCGGAACAATGACTACATATCCGGATCTGGCTGGACCGGATCCTGCGTGACGATCGATGGCTAGTGGTGGGCCTGGATATATGGATATATGTATCTGGGAGATATGGACATGAAGGTGCCACCGAGGATCCGGAATGGGAAGGCTCGGATCCGCGAGTGAGGAAAGTTTGCGAGTACCCGTAACGTTTTACAGGGTACGCGGAGCCGGATCCGCAGTGAAACATCAGGATCACGCCGGGTCCTGGGCGTATACGTAATAAGGGGTCTCTGGAGACTACAGATCACGATGTTTTGTTGGTGATCAAGAAGGTCAAGTGGGGATCCGGATCCGGCGGATCCGACTTTGGAGTGTCGACATAAGATGATTACGTGCAGATCCTGAGAGATAGCAGCTGTTCCCCATAAAAGCAGTAATCAGACATGCGGATCCTGCGCTGTAGAGCTAAGACAGACTACGATATAGGACTTAGGGAT